TGAGCCTGATCCCCTCACCTGAATCCTGCACCCTCACCTGAGCCTGACCCCTCACATGGACCCTGAAAGTGACTTGATCACTCTTGATCCTGTCCAGATCACTTTTCTCTGGGCAGGGTGACCTCAAGTGCCCCATGTAAGACGGTAACAGCCTACCTCTGTGCCCAGCACTGCTCGGTTCACAGAGCTCTCCATCCCTGGCCCCCCTGCAGGGTTTCATGCCCACTTTGCAGGGGAGGCAGTGAAGGCCCAGGGAGGGGAAGGAGGACACAGAATGGCCTGCCCTGAGGTGACCCCAGATCTCTGACTAGGGGTTCCGGCTCCCTTACCTAGACCCCTCCCCACACCATAAGAAACAAGGCCCAGGACAGTGTTAGTGGGGACAACTCTCCCCATCTTAGCAAGTTCACAGCCCGGAGAAGCAGTGCTTGGAGAGGAAGCAGGAGGAGTCACATCTGTAAAGCTCTGCACAGGCCCAGCAGCTAAGGATCAACCAAGTAAGGGGGGCTCTGGTGCCTACCTTTCGGCGATGGGATGGCACAATAAAAAAGGTTTCAATGTTATGAGTTTTCAAGAAACTGTTCCTCTCATGTCCGTAACCTGGTTCTACCTCGTAGTCCCCATTCAAGCACGCTAGGGTCGTCTTTGTGATATGAACCTTCCTACAAAAGAAGGAGGCAGAGGCCGGATGAGTGGGGAGCCACTGTTCAGAGTCTGCAGGGTCTCGCCAGAGGGGAAGGGGTGCAGGCAGAGGCTTCCCTGCACCAGGGCGGGCTCCACAGGGAGTATTCACGCTCCCATGCAAGTCCGTCCATGCCAAGAGGGAGGGCCCAGGCAGAGATACAGCAGGGCCATCAGGAACCATGCCCAGCAGGACAGCAGGGATGACTGAGGTGGGGGACACAGGGCCAGAGGGAGAGCAGAGGAAGCAAGGGAGAGAGAAAGAATATGTCAGGACTTATAAGGGAAGTTGAGGAAAAAGTGGCAATGATTTGAAGAAGAGAAAGAGGAGAGGAGATATGGGAGTCCCTCCCAAACCACGGTCTGGTCTGGTCAGCACAAGGAGTGGGCAGACCCCACTGGGTAGCAAGAAGTCAGGGGTGGCCACGGTGTTCACACACGAGGTGGGGTGGGAAGCAGGGTGGTGAGAAACAGGCTGTGGAGCCCAGGCGTTCACGCCTCCCCAACCAATCTTCTGGTGAGGGCAGGAAATTCCCCCACAGTTGGCGTTGTCTCAGCAGAAAACTCGAATACCCACAGTCTCTGCTCCTTAGCAGGGAACGCCTGAGCTCGCAGGTTTATGGGGCGAGAAGCAAACTCCCCAGCTTCCAAAACCATTCCCTGCAAACCCAATTCTTCACTTCACCGCACAACCTTCTGAACTCCTCGCGGGGGAAAAGCTTGGGATTCATAATTAAACTCTAAGGCTGGCTGAGGACGAAAGCAGGGAGCCTGGCTCAGATGGGAGGCGGTTGAAGGCAGAGCTGCCATGCTCACTGGGATCCTGAGAGGGTGAGGACAGGGCTCGAGAGGTCATGAGGCCTTTCTCAGTAGTGGCTCCACCAGGATCCCCAGAGGAGCAGGGGAGTGGGAAAGGGAGGGACAGGGAGGGACTGCCAGGCCAGGAAGAGGAGAGGTTGCAAAGGGGCCAGAGGGCAGCATAGGCAGGTTCTCTGACTCCAGCCTCAGCTCGTCCCTGTGCTGCCCCATCTACAGGGACCGATTCCTGCCATCAACTCAGAGTGCTTGGATCCCCAGGCCCAGTCCCTGCTGGGATGCTCTCTGGGTGCCCCCATCAGCAGCTCCCATTGGCCTGGGGCAAGCAGGGTGCTCATGGAAAGCCTCAACCTTGCTGCTTCCTGCCCCTCCGGAGGGGCCCTGGAAGCACCTGGGGACACCGTCACCCCCATCAGCCTGGCCCTGAAAAACAAAGGTCACCGAGGTTGTCTGGAAACTTCCAGGCACCACAGTCTCCAGAAAGGCAAGTGTCTGTGCATTCCTGTGTTCAGCTGATGCCTCATCCATTCCATCAGCAATGGAGATAGCAGCTGCATAGCCCGGCCTCAGGAGCCAACAGGGAGAGGAAAACGCCAGTTCTCACTGAAGCCCCTACTTCATGCTGAGCCCCGGGCACACTGTGGGGCGGCCAGTGTTCTGCAAAAGTTGCCTGCTGAGGGGCAGCCAGCGTTCTGGAGAAGCTGCCTGCTATGGTAGCCACTGCGAAGGGAGATTACAGGACCCGGGGGTGGCAGAGGGGTGCATGGAAATCTTCCTCAAGATAAGGCTGAGCCTGCCATGGAGCACAGCCGTCAACAGCCCGCAGCACTTCTCAGAGAGCTCAAAGAAAGCATCATCTGTGACCCAGATGTCCATGAGCTCCTAGATGGCTGTGTGGAGCTTGGGGGTGGAGAAGGAGCTCTAAAGTCCCAGCACTTTCCATTTGCATATTTGAGAAAATGAAACCAAAGACAGCAAAAAGAGAAGTGATGCAGTGACAATAAGCCATGAGGACAGCACCATACCATGGGCAGAGGTCCCTACACGCATCTGCTCTAGCCTTCTGGTCCCATGACAGGTTTTTGTAGATGTGCGCCAGGCTCAGCTGGGCCCAGCACAGAGTGGCAGCGAGGCTGGGTGGAACGCCCACCACAGGGAGTCTGGTTGGCAGGTGTGGCTGGGACAGGCAGGCTTCTCCAGGAGCACTCACACAAGTGCCCTCAAGAGCACAGCCCAGGACCTGAAGCACGGATTTAGCCCAGGGGTGTGCAGCCACCACCCACCTCCCTCCCCTCCTCACCCCATCCCCGACTTACCCTGGCAGGCCAGCGGCTTCCATGACATTGGCCAAGGTCACATCATTGGACCACACGTCATACTGCCACTTGCGCAAGCCCAGGACACCACAGAGGACCCTGCCCGTGTGCAGACCCACACGCATGTTCAGGTCCACCTCGGTGGCTTCAGCCACGGATCTGCAACACAGACACAGAGCGTGGGGCTGGAACCCACCTTGTATCCACCCAGGCGCCACCTTGCTCTGCATCGCTAGGCTGTGAGCACCATGGAAGCTGGGGCCTTGTCCTTGCTGCATGTGGCCTGAGCGTGGAGGTCTCCTGGCATAGTCAGTGGACACAGTGCCTTCCTGCCCACCTGTCAGCTGAGGGCCTTAGGCAGGAGGGGTGGCTCTGGCCTAAGCTCCCAGCCAGCTCACACCATGTCCACACCAGACCCATGAGTTCCCTTCATGGCCTCCTAGAGGGCCTTCCCTGCCCAGGGCAGTCCCCAAATCCCAGGTGGACCTGGTCATTACCGTGGAGTGTGGCATCATGACAGTTCAGATTAACATAGGGCTCTGTGAGGTCACTGCTCCCTCGCAGGGACCCATGCCTGCTTGCCAGCCAGATGCAGATAACAATCCGCTGGAAACATCCACAGAATCTGCAGCCCAGGCATCGGGCTTCCCACCCCTTCCTGACGCACAGTCGACCTTAGGCCTCAATACAAACTTATGGTCAAGGCCTGGAGGCCACATCCAGACATGACAGGCTGGTGACATGAGAGGCATTCACCAGGAGCCGGGGTGGGGAGAACAGAGTACGGCAAGGGGCATTAGGGAAGGGAACAGAGACAGAGCAGGTGGTGAGAGAACTGAAGGCTTCTGGGAAACCCTAGGCCAGCCTGGCCGAATCTAGATGCCCATCTCTATGCCTCAGTTTCCTCGTGTGTAAACCCAGTTCCAGCTAAATTCACTTTGACAAGCTCTGAAATCATTTAAACTCTAACCCAGTGCATCTTAAGGCTTAAGAGGCCAACCTCCTCTTTCTATTCCATCCGGGATGGAAATACTAACAAAAGTTCCAAGAAGGACTGAGGGGCGGGCCATCATGTGGTGACAGCAAACCAGCTCAGCCTGGAGTCCCATTCTGGAGGCCTCTGTGTATCACATTTGTCAATAACAACACGGTACGTGCAAGGCAAGGCTGTGCCACCCACCCGAGAAGACTGTGTGTGGTTTATCTTCACTCCGACTTCCCACTGGGGCCTTCTTCCTGGAGCTCCAGCCAAGGCTCAGGAAGCACCTGCTCAGCACAACCCCACTGCTTCCCCGGCCTCCACTGAAACCCTTGCCAGCCGCCTGTCACTACCCACTTCATCCTTACAAGGGCCTGTCCTTGAAAACCACAGCACTTGGAGGCCCTGGCAGCCACTCCAAGGCAGATGGCTGCCCAGACTACAGAATCACACAAGTCCCGGCGCAGATTTCTGAGTTCAGAAACCTCAGTAAACTCAGAAGTATGCATGCCACCGATTTACAGTATGTGGAAGTTAGACTACTGATATATCTTTAATACCTATGTAGTTTTATATATTTTGAACATACTTTTTTATTTAACTTTTTTTCAGTTGTTTGCCAATCTCCTTTGAGCACTGAAACCAAACGCTGAAATAAAAATTTATTTTTCAAAATTCACAAAAGGAAATGAGTATGGGAAAATGTAAATAACAAAACATACTAATAATGTTTTTGTGCACTGGTAAGTGTTTGTACCTCTGAAGCCATGAAACGGTAAATGGCAAGGAGACCTCTGGTACCCATGCCCACCTTCATCCCCAGATCCCCTTGAGCTCACCAAAGCTTTAGGCTCCCAGCAAGTGGCACCTCGGCCAGCCTCCAACCAAATCCACGCCACCACGTTCTACCAATACTCTCCATCTTCCATCTTTCCCAGTAGGTTCTGCCTCAAATATCTCAATTCTTGGTAACATCAAATCTGCGTTAACTGAACAGTTACTTCTAAAAGAATGATGCATCCAGAACTGCTCTCATAGTAACTCCTCCTGGTCTCACCATTCCTGGGATGCCCAAGCTGGCTTTGTCTAAATCCAACAGAACCTTTAACTTCATTTCCAAGGAACAGAATTTCCACGGACTTTCTTGGCTTTATTTGTACTATGTTTTTTCTTAATTTGTGCTCTCAGGTTCTTATTTATCACATGTGTTTTTTAGGCAGAGGAAAAGTCTGACATTTGCCCACCGCCTACAGCCATGACCTTGGTCCTCTGAGCTGGACCCCAACAGGAAGGAAAAGAGGAAGTGGCCCATCTTGGGCAGAGGGGGCCACTGTTGGCCCCTTGGCATGAGTAAATTCTGGCAGAGCTGAAACCTAGTCACGGCTGCACTGAAGCTCGAAAGTGAAAGGACAGGTGAGCACACATTCATTCATTTGTTCAATGAACGTCTATTGAGCATCAGCCATTATTTCAAGCACTGCAGCTATAGCTGTGCATACAACAGGGGCAAAAAAGAGGAGAGAGGACACTATAGAGGCTGATTTACCATCACCTAGGCAGAATTTCTAGAAATAACAACAACACACACGCCTGCAGCAGCCTCCAAGCCCCCATCCTTGTGTGGTGGGAAGGGTGGGGCAAATGGTTTCAGCCTCAGGTGGTTCAAGCTCATCCCCTCAACTTGGGCTCCTCCCTTTCCCACCTAAGACTCAGTTTTCCCATCTGTAAAAATGAGCTTCTCAATCTAGAATATAAAGATTCAGAAGCTCCACGTCCCCTAAAATTTTAGGGAAAACCATGTGTGGTGGGTGTAGAAGTGTGCACACAGGCATCACCTCTCCCACAGAAAATCCATCTCTAAATGTATCAACAGGTCTGGCTCTGAAAACTAGAATTCAATAATTAGAGGAAGTAATCCTCCAAGTTTTTCCATGCTGAGAAACTGAAGCATGCTCCATGGCTCACACACAAGCCCCCTTGTTAAAAAGTAAGGTACTGTTGGGGACAGCCCAAGTGCAAGGCAAATAAGGTTAGCAGGCATTCCTTCTCACACGACCTCCAGGGATGCAGGCTGGGGGACAATCGAGTTCTACTGATGACTGCAGCACACACAAGCTGAACCTAGCAGCTCAAAAGTGGGTCAGGGAGGAAAAGCACATGCCATTTACTTCCAATTTAATTCAACGTAGTAAACCAAAAATACACACTGCCAGCAAGGCATCTCAACTGAGTCTATTTAGCAAAAATGGTGGCTTGCACACTTGGTGGTCATGTGGAATAATGATGTTCCTGTTCAAAATCTGATTCACGGTTTGCCTATCACCTGTGATGGACAAGGCTTCCCTCATGAAGTGGACAGACAAGTCCACATTCCTATGGGTACACAGAACCATGTGGCTTCAGACAGAATCCTACAGAATCGGCCACCGGCTCCCTCTTTCTGGGAGTTGATGAATCAATACTTGCAGCGGCTGCTAGAACCCAGTCTATGCAGGCCCATTTAATCTGAGATCTCATTAAATTATCAAAACAACTCAGAGATGCAAACACTATTTCTCCATTTTACTGCAAAGAAAACTAAGGACTCGAGGAACCTGAAGCATCGCCTGAAGTATGGGAGCCAGGAATCTGGCAGGTTCCTGAAATCAGACGCCCCTCAGCCCACTCATGAAACACAGCAGCTGGGGATGAGGTGGCTGAAACCATATGAAATGCCATTTTGGTAGGCCAGAACTGGCTGGCTAGGAGCAACTTGCTAGGGTGACCTAATACTCAGGGCATCTCTGGGAGAGGAGCAGAGCTGGTGGTGTGTGTCAGAGGAGAGGGATATAAGCAGAAGAAGGTGGGTGAGCACAGACCTCACACAGAGCAATATCCCAGTGGGGGAGAGGGACTCAAACCTGAGTATCCCCCAAGGCAGGCCCCAGGGAGGGGTTCAGGCCTCATCTGACTTCACCAGCAGGAGAAAACGCCCCCTTCTTTCTGCCCCAAGAGTGTCACACATGACTTCCATGTATGGAATACAGAGAGGGAGCATTGGGAAGCCTCAGACTGAGCCTCTCATTGCATGGAAGGTGAGAGATTGACACAGGGACTGATGTACTGCCTGTGTCCCTGCAGCCTGGGCATTGCAGGGAGTCCTGCAGAAATCCCATTGGAAATTCAAGGTCAAGGACTGGTCTCAAACCTCAGGACACAGGGCCTGGTCTTGTCAGCCTGGCTGCAGCAGCTGGGAGACTGGTCCTGCCACCCTCATCTTTCCAATGCTCTGTGGGCTCAGAGACAGGATGTCATGAGGTGGAAAAGGCCAATTTACAGAGGGGGAAAACTGAAGCTCCAAGACAAAAGGGACATGTCCAGGGTCACACAGCTCTTCAGGAGCAAGACCAGCAAAGTCACCAAAGTCGCTGGACAGTTAGGATACTTCTCATCCCATCTTCATCTCTCCTATAGACAGGAACCACCTGGCCCAAACAGGGAATGTATATCACTTTTAAAGTATTCACTAAGAATCATACCAATAAAAATTAATGGGCACTTCCTTAAAATAGCATACCACACTCCTAAATAAAGCCCAAGTTTGAGAGAGAGGGGGATCTGATCTAGTGATGGAGGTCAGGGCAAGTAAGCTGGGGGCAGGGTCAGACTGCCCAGGGCCAGCTGCAGGAGCCCAGAGCCTTGGAGATGCCCCAGCCCACTGCTCTGGCCTCTGGATGCTTTGGCTCCCAGCAGGCCCAGGCTGGCTAAGCTGGGTAGCTGAGGAAGGTACAGGCCCTGGGATCCCACTTTCAAGTCCAGCATTCTTCACCTTGTCTTTACAAAGAGATGCCCCTCCCTGCACTTCAGAGGGCCTCTCTCAGCCCCACCTGGATTCACACTGGAGCCTCACTAGGCCCATAGGCATTTGACAAAACGGGTCCTGGACTCTTCCCAAATGATTGATCTGCATGAAAAAGGACTAGATGCTAAGCGGAGGAGGCCTAGGTTTAGAGATCAGAAAAGGAAAATATATCTATCCATTTTTCCCATAGGAATAAACATCCTTCAAAGTGATAAAACAAGATCTTTCCCACCTGTTCAACAAGGGAAAGACTTTCTCCAGCCTCAGAAATCAAGACCCAGCTCTGGCTGCATGCTTGCCTGCACCTGCAGCAATTTCTTACTTGTGCTACCAGCAAAGCATTGGCCTGAAAAGAGGCTGACAATGGAGCCCCAACCCTCACCCTCTATCAGAAAAGCCTCTGGAACCACGGAGTCTGCATCAGATGCTTCAAGAATCTTCCAACCAGCCAAACCATCCTGATATGATTTGGCTCTACATCCCCATCCAAATCTCATGTCCAGTTGTAATTCCCAACGTTGGGGGAAGGACCTGGTGGGAGGTGATTGGATCATGGGGGTGGATTTCCCCCTTGCTGTTCTCATGATAGTGAGTGAATTCTCATGAGATCTTGTTGTTTGAAAGTGTGTAGCTCTTTCCCCTTTGCTCTCTCTCTCCTGCAGCCATAAGAAGACATGCTTGCCTCCTCTTTGCCTTCCACCATGATTGTAAGTTTCCTGAGGCCTCCCCAGCCATGCCTCCTGTACAGCCTGTAGAACTATGAGTCAATTAAACCTCTTTTCTTCCTAAATTACCCAGTCTCAGGTAGTTCTTTATAGCAATGTGACAATAGACTAATACAATACACATCCCTTATGTGCCTTAGGATTTCCTCTGCCCACTCAGAATTCCCCAAGCCTGGAACAGACTTCTCTGTGGGCCTTGGAAAGGGACATATCTGACCTGCAGGCCTCTCTCCTTCCTGGTCACTCAGGCGCTGAGCCTGCTACCCAGGGCTCTATCAAAAGAGGAAGTCAGTGGGTAACCGCTGAAATTAGTGTCTTGGGGCATAGCCCACTCCCTTGGAGATGGAAAGGGCTTTCTGGAACAGAATCAGACTCAAGACAGGAAAAAAATGCAGTTGAGAGTGCAGACCTCACTACTGAGGAGTGGCAGGGAGCAAACAGAACCAGTGTGCACAACTGTGAGGCCCAGCATGGGCCCTGAGGGGAAAGGTTAGCTCTGGCCACTTTACCTGTTCACCTGAAACTTTGTGTTTCCAAAGTTTCAAATAAAACACTCCATTTCAAGGTAGGAGGAAGAGAAAGACATTATATAAAGTGTCCTCCTCTGCCTGGGCAAGCTCCCCCTGTTAATAAACATATTCTATCCTGCATGTGCAAGGCAAGGACACACACAGCCCAATGTGGCTGCCAGGGGATGCCCCAGAGGCCCAGATGGTCCCAGTAGAAGGCCGGCCATGCAGAGCACACACTGGTGGGTCCCAGGGTCTGTGACAGTCTGAGGAGGAAGAAGGGTTTGTTTGGCTGGGAGGCATCTTCCGCGCTCAGTCTTTGGTGGCTTTTCTTCTGGTCCAGAGCCAAGAAGCTGAGTGACAGGAACTCCGGTGTGTAGAGCTTCCTGAGGCCCTGGGAACACTCTGGTAACCAGGAGCCCAAGCAGAGAGCAGCTACAGGAGGCCCAGGAAGATGCCCCTGGCACTAGGGTAGACCAGTTTCAGGTAGCAGGGCCAGAGATGTGGAGCTGGGGGCACCAAAGCCTGGAGAATCTCACAGACTGAGAGCCAGCAGCTGGAATGCCAGGAGAGCCGGCCAAGAGGACACAGGTTCATGGAGCAAGTGAACCAGAAAGTGGAGTAAACCAGGTGAGTTTGCAGCTCCAGGCAGCTCCAGGCCAGGTGCAGAACCAGAGGGCAGACGCTGGGCTTCCTGGGCAGCATCCAGGAAGAGGCATGCCCACAGAAACAGCTTATAACCCATCAACATGCACATCGAGCAAGGCAGAAACAGGAGTAGAAGGAAGGGCAGCAGCCTTTAAGGCCCAGAACCTCAAGCAGGAGATGGGGTGTCACTGAGCACAGGAGCATTCGCAGCCAAGTGAGGAGACCAGGGGCCAACAAGGAGCACCAGACCCCTCTCAGGAGGACCCCGGTCGGCACAGCCAGGGTCACCAAACTTCAAGGGCACAAGGCCATCCGGTTCAACTCCTCAAGCTACCTGGTCAGCAAGGTCAGCTCACATCATTCAACTCTGCTTGTGTCTGTGCTCAGCACTGAGTGGGGGCTGCCCAAATATTTACTAAGCAAATGGACTGACATCTGTCTCCTTAGAGCATCTACCTACAGAGCCTCATTTTCGCCTAAGGAGATCACACAAAACCAGATGTGATATGATATATGATCTATATATACACAAGTAGCATATATGATATGTGATGTGACATAATGTGATTTATGACAATGTGATATGATGATGTGACCTATGATGAAATATGAAAGACAATTATACGATGTGTGATATTTGATACAACATGTGACATGTTATATGGTAGATGATGTGATATGTGATATGTGATATGTGATATATATTACATGAAACACGACATGGCATGTAACATATGACATGATACGACATATGATCTACAAGTGATACGTGATGTAAGGAAATGTATGATGTCATCTAAGATGCAACATACAATATATATGATGTGCTGCGATAATGTCCCATCCTTTCAGAGAACAAGTGATGGTCATCACCTCTAAGTCTTCTCCAAGCCAGGCGTCCTTCCTTCCTTCCTTCCTGCTTCTGCCCAGCATCTCCTCCAGCCAGGCTGCTTTTCTCCGGGGCAATGGCTCTCTGTTAGGCTGTGTGCTGAGGTCAGCTGAGGGGGCTTTTCTACTCTCAGTCCTAGACCACACTCCAGCCCAGCCACTTCGGGCTCTTTGGTTCATCAGGGACTTTGGTTCTCACAGGCAACTCTGACACGAAGCCATATCGGAGAACCGCTGCCCCGGAGGGCTCGGCTTTGCTCACACGTCCCTGACATGCAGATGCCAGAAGTGGGCGCAATGCTCAAGGTGCTGGCCTCCTCCCGACAGCCTCTTTCCATCACACCGTCTGCAGGAGCGCCACATGGGGCAGCCCACGAGGCAGTGATGCGGCACAGGGAGCCAGCAATCTCGCCCCATCTCTCAGCCTTGCTGGCTGGGTGTTTGCCTGTGCATCCTTTCACCCGCAGCTACCCATCGTCTCCCTACACAATTCTTATGCTACTACTTTCCCACTCCAGGTATGAAGCTATGCCCCATCCCTGTTGGCCCCATCTCGTTGGAGCATACCCACTTCTCCACATTTGGAGATGTCTGTTTGGATCTACACTCCATACATTAGCTCAGCCTTCCAGCTCCACACCTTCCCTAACTTGACAAAAACATCTATGTCTTCATCCCAGTCTCTGATAAGGACAATGACAACATAAGACTGACCAAGAAATGGGCAGGCCTGTCCTCACAGGTGTAATATTCATCCCATGAAGACTCACCTGCCCGGATCCCAAGCCTGTCTCCCCACACAGAGAGCACCTGAGACCCAGTCACCTTGCTGAGTGAAGAGAAACATACACATTTACTTCCGTTTAATAGAGAATTCAGCTAGATTGGGGTCAAACCTTTCTGAATGTCTTATCTGGTTAAGCTAAAAATGAATTTATTTTTGCATGACTCATGCATACCTGACAATACGCAGAATTCCTGTGGACAAAGAAATACAGTCACACATGAAACGTAAAGGCGGGGAATCATGGAAGCATCCTTTCACGCTTTCCTGAACCTGGCATCCTTCTAATGCTGGCATCATTCTCTACAGCCTCAGACCCACCAGGACAAAGCGAGGCCCTGAGAGGGGAGCCCACACGGGGCAGGTGGCTCAGCTTCCAGGATTTCGATGTGTAGACGCCCCAGGTCACTCCTCTCAGCCCCACAGTGTACTTACGTGATGGTATCAATCATGTCGAGCCCCATCTCCACGCAGCAGTGGGCATGGTCAGTCTTGGGCTGGGTCAGTCCCGACACGCAGTAGTAGCAGTCCCCGAGAATCTTGATGCGACGACAGTGGTTCTCCTTCAGGGAAGGGGAAGGCACACGGTAAGAAGACAGCACTGCAGTGGCTGTGAGCACCTCTGCTGGTTCCACCACCTCTAGACACTGGTGGCCACAGAGCACTGACAAGACACACTGCACCTGGGCCAACACCTTCCCACCCAGGCCACACCCTTGTGTGGTCACCACAGTCTTGAGGGCTGGGACCAGGCTCACATCAATCTCCTTCTCCCTTTCCCCATACCTCACATATGGCCTCTTTCCCCTTGGGGGGTCCATCCCTCCTGTCTGCTTCACTGAGCCAACTCTACAGGATGATCCTTCAAGGTCCAGCTGGAATGCCACCTCCAAGGGGCATCTTCCCCAACTCCCTTTATTCCCACAGCACCTCCCTTAACCGCCATGCAGACCATCACGGACAGCCCTCCAGAACGTGCTAGATTCCCTCCAGCAGCTGCTTCTCCCCAGGAAGGGTGGACCTCTCACCCATCTGGGTGTCCCTGGGGCTTCTGACCTCCCCACCCATAGGGCACACTCCCCGGAGGCAGAAGGCACTGGCCAAAGCTGAATGTCCATCTGCTCATCTGTACAGTGGTATGAATAGGAACAGCAGCACCAGCCTTGCAGGGCACGTGGAAAGTGGAGAGTTAACTCTAAGACCCTGTATTGTCTTACTTGGATCAATCAGTGTCAACTGGGATTATCATCATGACTGTTGTGTTTATTTCAGGGACAACATTAAAACAGCAGCTTTAAAACATTTCCATTTCAGGACCCCTTTATGTCTTGAAATCACTGAGGACTCACTAAAAACAAAAACCTTTTGTGTAGGTGGGTTATAGCTACTGACATTTAACAATAAGAATTTTTTCGTGTACAAATGCATTTAAAATAACAGTGAATCCACTGCAGGTTAACACAAGTAACATTTTATGAAAAATTATGACATTTCCCCAAACAAAAGACAATGAGTGAGAAGCACAGAATTGCAGTTCACTTCTGCGAGCCTCTGTGGCGCCGCCGACTCGAGGGCAGACAGTGGATTCTGTGACCCACTTCTGCATCCAGCCTTCATGCTGTGCTGTCTCTGCAGATGCCCGGGAAGGAACCAGCCTCACACAAGCACAATGCTGGATGAGGAAGGACCTCACAAGTCCCCTGAGATGGTTTTATGAGGCCACAGAACTCCTCCAGCCACTCTGAGAACACATCGGTGGCTTATATTTAATGTGATCTTTTGGTTTCTAACAAATGACTGGGGCCGTAGGTCCTCTCGAATGCTGAGTTAACACAAGTGCATTTGGGATGAGAGTTACCAGTTCTCATGATCCCTGTGCTCACCTGTGCCCCACATTCTTAAAGAAGAGGAACCAGGGCCAACACAGAGTGAGTCAGGGCAGGGCCAGGCCACACCAATCGCTGGGAGCCCCAGTTCCCAGGCTGAGCAGGGATTGGCCAGCAGCTGAATGGCCTGTCCATGGAAGTATCTTCCCAGAGCTGAGTAGACAGCTGATGACCCTGCTGCTGCCCTGAGCTGCCCTCAGGCCTGGAGTTGCAGGGACCTTGAGAAATGATCCTGGCCACTGCCCAGCATCAGAGATGGGGGCACTGTTGGGCATACAGTTGGCTCTGTGCCCAGCTCCTTCCACCGCTGAGCCTCCCTCAGCACTCCAAGACTGTGGACAGGAGATAAGGGGAGGAGGTGATCAGAGACTTCAGTCTGTAAGATGGACACTGAGGCCAGCCTTGTAAAGCCCAGGGGCCGAGTCTGCTCCATCAGGGCCCAACAGGCTCCTCCTGCTGACAGGGAGCTGGTCACAGAGAAGCTGGTGATAGTCCAAAGACATCCAGGGTCTGGCCGCTTAGTGTCTCCTCCATCTCTGCATGACTGTGTCAACTACTTAGCCCTTAGAACCCTGGCATCATCTGTGGAAGGGGGTCTTCCCACCTGCCCTCATCCCCCGGCAGGCTGAGCTGCAGCTGACATGAGCCTGTGTCAGGGGCCTGGGAGCACGAGTTCAGAGCTGGGTAGGTAGGTCCACTCCACCCAAGGGCAGGCTTCTTGGCCCAACAGCTGCTGTTTCCCAGGTGTCCAAATGTTTCAAAGGGGTCAGGATGTGCCTGCTTGGAGGCTAGCTGTGGGGACCAGTGATGATCTGGGCAAGGGTCTCCGTGCAGTGGCTGGCACCATGGTTACTGTCACTGCAGCAATGACAGGGCCTGGGACCACAGTCAGCGCTCACAGAAGGGACTGTGTCCTGTCCCAGAGAAGGTGCAGCCAAGAAGCCACAAAAGTGACCCGGACACAGGGTTGCTGCCTGGTTCCAGTGCCAGCCCCTCAAGGCCCAGCCTGAATGACCATTCACTGGACCCCAGGGTGTGCTGCCAGCGCCAGTCTCTGTCCTGCAAAACTGAAGACAGGGCCCCTCACTAGGGATGCGACCAGCCAGTCTTCTCGAGCCATCCTCACCAGAGCCTCCAGGCCCACAGTCAGCTCTGGGCTCCCTCCTAGGACACTGCTCTGTCCCCATTGGCACTGCCCTGGCATGCCCCGTGCATTCAGGCCTGCTTCCAAACATCCCCCAAATGTCCCCAACGGTCAGAAGCAGGTCTGAATGCAAGAGGCCTGCCAGGAAGGAGAAGCGGCCACCCCTCACACTCAGGCTTCCTCCGCCCAGCCCTGCCGCTTCCCACCCCCTCCCTGAGATTAGAAACCCCGTGAGCACTCACAACCTGTGACGATGGCCCTGACACATCAGGATTTCTTCTCAGAGGTCCCAAAGGAGGGCTCAAGACCCCTCTGGGAGCCCACAAGAGCCACAGTGCCCAATGGCTGCTGGAACTCTTCTTGCACATGGTTTTGGAAGGGTTGCCAATCCCCAATGTAAGGACCTGTGCTCTTGCATCGAGGACTTTGATGCGGGTCCCTGATCATCCCTGCATCTCATGCGCAAGAGTGGACTCAGGGATTGTGGGCAACTGCCAGTGTCCCTGCCCCCACCTCAGCTCTGAGCTGTGTTTCCAGCATCTTTCCAGGGTCTGATGGGTACCAGGGCCTCCTGGTCATCTCTGTGAGTCCAGAACAAGCCTATTCCTGGAGTGGGACAGGTTGCAGGACAAGGCTGCTAAAGGGATGAGTGTGCATGAGTGAACAGGCCAGTCAGATCTGATGGTAGCAGGGCTCCAGGGTAAAAGGCAAAGGAGGGGCCTGTCAGTACAGCTGCTCCAAACAGCCCACCCTGTCAACCCAACTATCCTATTTGACACCAAGACTTGGCATGGCCACCGCAGAAAAGGACATCGCTGTGGGGCTGGCTGGGGTGGAATCATCAATTACCATCCCTACAGGAGTCCTATGTAAAAGGAGGCATAAACAGCACATGGGAATGAAGGCCAAAGAGACACCCACGGAGCCTCAAGTGTGACCGTCACTGCATGGTGTGGGCGAGCTGTGAGTGGGGAGAACCTATCTCTGCATGAGGACCAAGGGCAAAGCCATCTAGCACAGACTATCCATATGCACACAGTCATGTGGAAGGCCTTACAAGCACATGAGGGCTTGTGTATTCTGAAGAAATTGTCCAGAACAGTTGTCTTTAGAACAGCAATCCTCTCCTGGAACCTGGACAACATATACTATACACACACATGTGCACAATTCCAGCTCACCCAGCATCCCACATGAGTCTCTGGAAACTGTTCTGAGATGCAAAGCTGAGGACCCTCCTGGGCCCTCATGGTGTCCCTTTCCCCCCTACCTGCATCACGCTGGCACTAGTGGAGACAGTTTAGGACAAATGTTGAATACACTGCTTTATTTTGTCTTTAATCTCAGAGGCCCTGGCTTTTGTTAGCAAGCTTAAGAGATCAAAAAAGGTATTTCTAATTGGTTTTAGTGTTTCTGATTTTAGACTCTTTTGTATAAATATGCAAAGTCAGCACCTAGAGTCCACTGCAATAAGCACCACAGGAAGTGTTGTGTCTCCTCCAAAAGAAGAAAGAAGATGAGATGGAGGGTTGGCAGGGGCTCAGAAGCATGTTCAGCCCTAAGGGACAAGAGTTGTCCCCTCCCTCCCAGGCTTGAAAGGGACAGGACTGCAGGCAGGTGATGTGACAACAGAAGCTTCTCAGTACAACAGAGTGGCTACAGGAGAATTCAGATAGGAAAATTTCCTGATTCACTCCAGGTGTGGCCTAAAGTGCTGCAGCCAGCTCACAGACAGTCTGGGCCCATCATGGTCTTAAGGGTCTGAGCAGGTAGCCACAGGGAAGGGTCTAGAACAACAAGAACTCACATAGGCCAGTACATTCTGACCCTGCCCAGCCCCAGGACCCATCCCAAAAGGGCACAGAGGTAACGTCTAAAAGAAAGCAGGGAGTCGGTGGCTCAGGAAGATCCACTGCCAATTCCAGAGCTCTGACATGCCCAGGCTGCTCTAGGGCCAGTTCTAAAACAGTAGAGTCCAGAGAGGCCAGAGGACGACGCATGGACTCACACACTGCACCCTAATTCTGAGAAAACAGGTACCCGGGAGAAGGAGAGGATGAGAAGCCTGAATCAATCCAGTTTTTGCCTGAAAGTGACCGCATCCAAAACCCAAACCGGCTAAGTCCAATTAACTCTGTAAGACTGGAGTGTTTGGCTCTCAGTGGAAAAACGAAATAAGAAATTTTAGAAAACTCTAGAGGAAGCTTCCTGCTACAGAAATAGGGCAGAAGAGCTGAAACATAAGAACTCTGCAGACACCTGTCCATCAACAGGATCAAATCAGGTCCCCGGAAGCCTCCCCGCCTCAGGGGAGGACTGAAGAATCAGCGTGCCCTGTTGGGAAGCGCTCTCCAGGAACAGTTTCACAGTGAATGCACTACCAGCATCAAAAAGGAACAAAAAGGAACCATGGAGGGGCAAAGGGAAACCCAACACAAACGTCTAACTATACACACAGGAGGAACAGTGGGCAGGGGAGGGGTCTCTCCATGTACCTCGACTTCAGTTTTTTACTGTAGAACGAACCGTGCAA